CTACTACTAATACTACTACTACTAATACTACGTCCTCTTCTTCTTCCATCCATCCATCCATCCTTCCTGCCTTCCTCCGTCCTCCCTCCCTCCCTCCCTCCCTCCCTCCCTTCCCTCCTTCCTTCCTGCCAGCCCGAGCCGTAGCTCAGCAGCCCTGTTCATGGGACAATATTTGAATCACCGTGAAGCCGCCGAACGTCCTGTGGCAGCGATGGACGAGTGCCAGGCACAGCAGAGTGAGACACTCAGTCTCAGCGGTACTCGCATCGCAGAAAAAGAACTGCTTGAAGGCACAACCCCTATTCCGCAGTCCGCATCTGCTCAGCCCAGGAGAGTCACTGCATGCCACTGCATTATGACAACCATGCGCCAACATCCAGACGTAACGCGCATCCACAACCAGGAAACCTTGCGTCGGCACGATAGTGGCCATTCGGAACCGAAGCACCATGATGCTCCACGACCGCCCGGACTGTACTTGAGTGAGAAGCTTTCGAACGGTGAAGAATGCCCGCGTACTGCAACAACATCTTGCATTCCGCCCTCCTGCGAAGTTGCAAGAAAAGACGCAGACGCGCAAATATATCCGGGAAAATGCCCGTGCTCTGCGCGCGCAGTTGTGTCTGGGCCTGCCAGTACCGAACGATCTTCCCATTTAGTCCAAGCAGAGCGGGCCGAACCAGGGGTGCGACAGCAGGAGGACCCACATCCTGCGCAACGGCCACTGGCAGCTGAAGGATCTTCAAGTCAGCAGGTGGATGATTCTCGCTCAAACAAACCGCTGACTTACCCTGCCGCGAGCTAATTCCAAGTGTTTCCAGCGCAACAAGATGTATCGCGGCTTATGACCAGTACTGCGCCATCCCGCCAGCGGAACCCTCCACGTGGAACACTGTTTCGCCACACCATCAGCAAGAATCGCCCAAACAAGAAATAAATATCTTTTGGGGATTTCCCACTCGGGTGCTCATAGGTCGGAGTTCGTTTGCCCCGCGCGTTGAGAGCGCAAAGCTTACGGGATACGAGCACGGCTGTCAAGTCCTCTCCGCAGCCAGGGCCTGCTGAGACGAATGCATTATGCCCTGCCGGCCCTGCCCCGCGAAAGCCGAATCAAAGTTCAAAGGAGTCCAAACTGTTGAAGTCACCTGACGGGATTATCGACGAGCGAATCGGAAGGGAGCGCCAAAACTTGTCGAAGCGAGCCCACAGGGGTTTCCTCTTGAAGCACTTTCTCCAGCACGTCTGTTCCAAAAGGTAATGTTAGTGATCACGTGCAAGTGTTTTTGCTCCATGGCGAAACACCTCAAGTGCACCAATCGCCCAGGGATGAGTTCTTACCAATGCAGCGCAGCTTGTGAGCAGAAGGATCGCCGAAATCCAATCATGATGCCACCCTGCTTCGCAGATTTAGCCGGGCTACGCATGAAAGTCCCATCCCCTTCGTGCCATTCATTGGTGTAATGTGTGGTGCGTCTCCTGGAACATCATAAATTTGATATCCTGGTGCTTGGCCAGCAGCATCCAGCAGCAGTTTAATCTCCTCAAACAGCATTTGCGAGAGGCCTTCCACGTGATTCCACGAGCAGCAGCTTGCCGCCTGAAGCGCGCATCAGCGACGACACGGAGCAGCGTCGGAGTGGAGAGCTGTTTTCCTCTGTAGTTGACCTGCGGACCCGCCTCAGCGCACCTGATAGCCCGCCTCAGGAATCGCTTCGTGCGCGCCGCGCACGTAGCGCCTCCACGGTGAGAATGCTAGCATCTGCCCCCTTTGTCTTCACCGCCCCGCAGTTTCAGGTGGGCCAAGGGGATCCACACCAACCCTCACGTCAAAGGGCTCACTATTGCGAGCCACATGATTCATGCCGGCCCTTTCCCGGACTCGGGACCGGGGCGAGCGAACTCCTCCCAAAAGTCTGACTGTTGCTACTGCATGGAGTAACAGACCATGAAACTGGGACTGGACATTCTGGGAGGAGACATTATACACGGGTACGGTCGAGATGCTGCATCATATGATGTCAGGGTCATGATATACAGCCAAGTCAGCCGGGTAATTCGGAATAGCAACATTCAAGAATCGGCCGGGAGAAAGATCAGGTAGAATGAACGCGATTAAACGCTGCAATGTCGCCTGATGCCACAGCTCCGCTAGAAAGTCTAGCGCCCAGTTGGTACTCCACTTCTTCCAGAATTCACGAACGCAAGTGCACAGCGCTCGACAGTGGCCTGAACTGAACCCTGCCGGAGCCTCCCCCCCTCAAACCGCTCGCCGGTGTACGTTGTCCACTGCATGCCGATCGACTCCATCTGCCAGTTCTCTCTGCTTCACAGAACCCAAGAATGTGTACAACACAGTGTGGCAAAAAATAGCACACCCACCAATGCACAGCACATGCCCTTGCACATGCGGCGGCAGGTTTCCCGTGAAATACCTATGCGACGCCAGCGGAAGCAATTGGCTGGCCTATTCAACGACCAGTATGCAGGCATATCTATCACACAGCTCGGAGAATCAAAGAAGCATTAGCAGGGAAGTTGAGGCCTTGTCAATCGTTCCACCAGTCGCGATAACCAAGATGCATGGCCTGAGGAAAGGTGTGCAAGGCCCGTGCACGGGAACTGTCAGCCTTCACCCAGCTGTACTTGCATTCTCGTGTCTACACTCATAACTGAGGCTCATGCTCCGCAGGCCCTTGGAGGTGGCCTCCGAATCAAAAGCAGCTCTTTTGCTGTGTCCTGGCGTTTGCCTGACCCAAACACTCACTGGAAACTGGCCTGCCATCTGCACCCGAAGACCCAGGGTCGGTGAACAAAGTTGCCACTTCACCAGAGTTGCGCCAAGTCCAAGAAGCAAGGACAGAGATGGGATGATCTTGCGGCGTCCACTCATCTCATGATACCATGTAGTGTCTCTCCCTGTCTGAGCCAAGCACAGCACGCACGGATCCGGTATGAACAACTCTGCACAGAGACAACATCCTCTTTGCATGTTCGGAATCTACATCGAGTGTGCCTTCCACGGTCAAGTATGTCACAGAGAACTCGAGGAGATCTCCGCAGCTGCCACTGTGCTGAAACTTCGCCTGCATCCGCAGCGAAAAGTCGATTGTGGGTGATCTCGAGTATGCCAGGCTGTGGATTTCGCTATGCTAACAACGAAGCGCTGCCTGAACTGTTGGTGACGGGTGAGAAAGTGGATTCTGCAGTAGCACACGCCTGATGTGCGCCGATTCGCACTGCAGTTGGGACACGATGGATCACGTTGGGCTGTCGGCTCCACGAGCTCACCACCATGATCTTCCGCACCTGGCACTACCCACCCCGACCAAACATGGTGGGACTGCCGAAGCCCACGTGGAGATTTCACGCCAAAAACAATCTGGCCTTCCAGCGCAGCGACCATTGGGACGAGCTGCAGGAAGCTTCCTGCTATGGCCTTTCGCGTTCGTGTGGCCACATCTTTGCACCCTTGGAGTATCAATGGCCTGGGCATCAATTAACACGCAAATAGACGATTTTCACGAGTTCGATGACAACTGGCCTCCCCGACAAGTTGCAAACAACGACCTGTTCCGAATCCACAAGAAAAAAAGGCCCGTCTGTGGCTCTCAGCTCTAGCCTCGTAAAAGCGCTCCTGGCGTAGAACCAAGCTCCGTGGACCATTGGCCTCGGGTCCGGCGAGCAGAAGCTCTAATCACCAGACAGAGCTATGGCTGCTATGCGGGTGGCCTTTTGGACTTCAAGGATCAACGTTGCAAAGCTGCTTGGGGATACCTCGCACGAAGGACTTCATTGCGCACCCTACTTGCTCGGAAAGAAAGGCTCGCACATGCAAGTACACCGAGTCCGCCGTACGGCGATTCCCAGGTCTGCAGCTTAACTCTTTGAACCAAACATGCAAGCTGCTGAGCTCTTCGATCTTAGGCTTGGGCTTGCTGTCGACATTCAGAAACCAACCAACTGCCTCTCTCGGCCCAACCTGTGCTTCTTTCGAAAGGTGTTTTCAGCACACCGTACAGTCACAAAATTGGGAATCCCTGCTGCCAAGCGAAGCCTGTAGGTAGGGGATACTCCTCGACATCCACGAAGCTGCAAGTGCAGAAATCTTTTCCAGTGACATTCTCGTAAGTTGTCGTCTCCTGATGAAACATCAAAGCCACCTTGCGGCTCGATCATCCACCTGAGAGCTCCCATTCCCTTCCTAACATCACAAGTCTCACACCTCATCTCTGCAGCCAGAACACTCGGCAGCAGGGACGTTGTCATCACCTCGAAAGCCCAAGGAAGAGTAGGATGATGCTTATCACTGCAATCTGTAGACACTTCAGCTGCCTTTTCTGACGATGACGTTGTGACACCGATGCACGTCTTCCGCCTATCATGAGAGCATGTTATGTTGTTTTGCAGAGAACTCCAGCCAACAATCACTATTTTGAGCTGTCGGCAACATCGAGAAGCCAGCCACTTGTCTGACTGAAGTGATTGGACACGCAACGAATCAAAAACCTGAGACATTTTGGATTACCGACGCACTCAGCTGTGAAGTGCACACAGGTCGCACCGCTCCTTCTGCAATCCGGAGGGTGCTCGTTCCAAAGTCCAGTACCCACTCAGTCACCAAATAAGTCGTATAAAGCACACAGACTTCTCAAACGTCTACGAATTTCGGCATGCCAATCTGAACTCCTTGCAGGATAAAAACACTGCGGTTTGCACAATCGTGGATTTCGGGCTTACAAAAACCAAATCCGCTTTGCTCTTACTTTGACACACGGGCATGGTTCGTCGGGAGCATCGGTCGGCTTAATACCGCACCCTACCGACAACCAGCAGGCATGTTGCAGTGCGCGATGTGGAGGATAGAACTTAAACTTAAACATATTTAGAAACTGGGTGTTGCAGAAGGACAGCCTGGAAAGCTAGTACCGCCAAGCAGGTGCACATGGTGTCAACTCAGATGAAGACTGAAAGTCGGCGGAGCCCCGTTCCAGCTGCCACTCGCCGGCAAGGCCAGGTGCAGGTCTGTGCGCGCTCACACAAGTCCTTGTGAAGATGCCGAAAGATCCGCTAAGCCGCTAAGCCGCTACATGCCGCTACCGCTTCAGCACACTCCGAGGAATTTGCGAAGTGCAGTCTCTTTGGTCTGCTTTGACACTTCGCTGCCTCGAATTCACAAGGGCATACGTATAATTGACGGAGTCTTTAGAGCTCCTGGAAGTCACAAAGGCGTCTCCGAAACCTAAAAAAGCACAAACTAGACCCCCGTGTCAAAATTGACAGTTCATGAGTCTGAGCCCCTCACGCATCGAGGCACCAACCAGCATTTTGCTGAGGTTGCCTTGGATGCCCAGAACCATTGCCAGGCTGCAAGCTTCTGACCCGCACTTGCAGCTAAATCAGTGGGCCCGACGCAATTCGAATCCTGACAACGGGCCTTCCATCTCCAAATTCCTCGTGAAGCCCAGATGGCCATGTTGCGTCTCGGTTACACAACTTCTGTGCCGAGACGTACACAGCAGAAGCCGGCGGCTTGAACGCAGGCTGGTCTGCAGCTATCTGTCCAAGTTTTGCAAGATTAAACCCATCGAGAGAAAAAGCTACCTGCTGGACGGTCCCGACAAGGCCTTGCACGTGAGGCGCAATGGCTGGGAAAGAATCATGAGCACGGTTGAACATGCTCAGCAGCTCTTCTTTGATGCAGCACTATCAAACAAACAATGGCAGACCAAGTCTACCCCAGGAAAGATATGTTTCGAAGGCAACTCCATCAACCTGCTCCAGCGAACCCGCTGCGGTTCAATTCTTGGTCGCTCGAGCCAAATACTCCGAAGACATGCTGGGACAAACAGCTGGCACCTGTGTGATCATGAGTTGATGCACGAGTTGTTTCGTTCTTGGCTGCACGCACTGCAGCAGCTTGCAGAAGACCTATGCGAAATACATGCATAGCACAACCAATACGGATTAGAAACTGCTACTAGCTGGAACCCGACATATAGCATGTCCTGTGTACATACTAGCGGCATGTCGGCTCTGCTCAGGTTGGCAGAAGAGGGCTCACCTGCCAGCTTGAAACACTCAAAGAAATCTCGGTATGACCAGGGCTAGACCAAGAGACACTAAGAACTTCACTCATATTCCGGCACATAGGCGCTGTCAATAACGCCTGACAGTCAAGCTAAAGACTCATGTTGTGCCAGACGCGCAACATGTCAGCCAGTCGGAAAGGATAAGATGAGGCATAAACCTGCCCCTGGACGCTCCAGTTTGCAGGCCTGCAGACGTGCTCACGAAGCTGCTGAAGGAAAAACCGAGATGTGCACAAGATTGGCTCGACCGTCGTGAGCCCGCAGGACTGGAACATGAGATGACATGACCACCTTGTAGAAGAAGCAGTCACCACGGCCGATTGACCATTTCATCTCGTGGGTATCGATTGTGTGGCAATTTCTGACCTGCAGAAGTTGAAGATCCCAGCAGCGCTACGCGTAGAATGGACACACGAAGATTGTCCATGGCTGTAGATAGCGCAACACTGAAAGCTAAGCTCCACACAACGACGGTGCCTCCTTTCGTGAGCAGGTACTGCGCGATGTTGTTATGCCCAAACTCCTGACATAGCTCAAAACCTGATACGACACCCAGGGACTACTTTACCCCAAACACCTGCGATTGATCATGCGAGTGATCGGATGTCGGTGGAAAAAAACGCACCGGATAACGTCGACGTCGTCGTCGTCATCTCCCGCTCCTCCTCCACCTCCTACATATCCTACGCCTACTGCAGGGGACCTTGTGGCCGTTTCATCCTCCACCACGCATCATGCTCGTGATCAGCATCCTCTTGGCCACCAACAATAGGTCACTAGGCCCGCCACCAAAATGTCAGGCTCACCTGTAGCATCATCATCCCTGTCTCTATCCTTGTCATTCTCGCCATCTAAGCCATAGTCTTCGACATATACGCTTCATCTTTGCCATCCTCAGCATTACTGGCCATCATCATGATCAAGATCTTCTTCCTCATCGGTTACCGATAAAAAAATCATGATCACTGCTGGCCTACATGCCTTCTCCAGTTTCGTTCATTCGTTAGGGGAGCGACAACTTGTGACAAGCAAAATCGGAGTTACCCGCTCCTGAGACCGACACCATCGACGCCACCAAGGAATCGAACCGTTCAGGTGAATACGGAACAAACTCAGCACGTACAGCGCTTGGGAAGAAGGAACACTACATCAACCCCGGTTTGTCCTTGGCAATGAAGACCTCACAGAAAACACTGTGCAACTGAACAAGCCCTAATTCTGTCTGCCAAGCTCATGAGAGCTCCGGAAAACCTCAATGCAGAAGAAGGAACGGCGTTCCCATTCCACAGAACCGGATTTATCTCGTCGACATCCTGCACATCCAACTGATGCAACCGTTGGAAGGTTTCCCGACCCAGTGCATCTTTAAGGTCATTCGGACCTGAACATGCCTGAACTGAACACACATGGGCACTGCGCCTGCCCATTGTCTATGTACTCCTTGACGCGGTTAAAGTCACCTGCCCGAGCCACCCCAGTGCCGAGAAGCGTAAAAAGAGCTGTTTTGATTAGGATACCGCCTTGCATTAAGAATTTGTGCCTGCACAACATGCTCCCCACCATGTGTGTTGCGAGCCCTTGCTCTTCAAGTATTCACCTTCACGAGTCACAGCAGCTCTTCAAGTACGTGCTGCGACAATACAAGTGCAGGCAAGTGACATATTGGATGCTCATTGGGGAACCTGTATCCCTGCCAGGATGCAAATCTGAGTTCAACAAGGGTGCAGACTTTGGAAATAAATGCAGACCCTTTGAAAACAAACCACCTCGTAGCCAGCATAGTCGATGGCGCGTAGTCCTGCAGGAAGAGAAGTGCCACCCATGTGGGTGCGAAACGAAACCTTTGGGGCACATCCTGCGCGAGACAGTGGGCCATCCAGGTCGGCTTCGAAGTCTTCAACAAGTAATTGAACAAGATCCTGCCACTGTGTGTCGCGCATGTTCGTGTGTGACGCATACTCCTCATGCCCCGTCATCCCAACAACGGCACTGCTTGTCAAACGCTCTGGAAGTGGACGGTCCCAATTGCCCATCATGGATGAGATCATCAGGGCAGTCATGTGGTTGCTGTCCAAAGGGGCATTTGGATTTACACCAGCCTGCCAACATAACACAACCCGTGGCAATGAAAGCACGTCTGCTGTTTCCATGTTACCAACTTCCTTGCCTGCAATAGCTTTCGCACGGTGAAAACATCACCATCCACCACAGCTTGCTCGAGTTCATATAAGTCCGGTGGTAGGGTGTCTCGAAAGTAATCGCCGGAATACCGGTTTGGGAATTTGCGTTCCTGCCAAACCAAAGACAACCATGACACGACATTACGGTTCAATGCGCGCACATGCCTCCAGCACAGGATAGTCCAGCGCCCATGACGGAAGAGTCATGGCCAACACCTTCTCTGCAAGCCTTTCGCTGCAGCACGTACATGCGAAACATGTGCGAATGCAGCAGCATTCATATCCTGGTCGCACTCATGCTGTCCACCGCCGAAATCAATAAGCTGCTATCACACTATGGATCCCACGTGCCAACAAGCACCAACATCATGAAAGCGTTAAGAGCTCAGAAGTCTTTCAGACCCAAAATTACTCGAAGAGTTTGTTTGTAATTTGGTTTTGATGTCATTATGGTTGACGCTTATGACCTTTTATTTTTTTTTATCCTTGCCGGCCGGGTCAGTTCCTGTTGAATTTCACTACCTGGATTTGAATTGAATGTGCTTTCGGCATCTGGGCCAACGTTTGCAAATATTTATGGAAAGATTTTGAAGTAAGTATGAATACGATATGAAAAATATAGCTAAGTATCACGAGTAATGGATCGAAAGGGCATGTGAATCAAACAGCCAGTCAGACTGCAAACCCGAAACAGAAGTACTGTACAGGAACGACTTTTGTGCCAAACGAACTAGCTGTTGCCAAGCACCCTGACCGGGCTCTAACAATGTTCAAGCTGCGCGGCATGCCTGTGCATGCAAATCTCAACTCTTTTGGCGGTATTAAAACGGACCGTTGATGGGTCACACCTGTGATTTAATTTTGGCGCATCAGGATTCGAACGTCGTCGAAACCAACCCACACATGACGAATGCTGGCAGCCATTCTCGGCCGACGCACCTTGGTCTGCTCCTCGGAGGTCTATTTCTCCATCGTCGTGTGCGCAAAAGTCCACAAGTCCAAAGCAAGTGCAAGTGACAAGGGTGGTGCGTCGAACCTCAAGTTCAAAAATTCAACACTCCAAAATTGAACTTTCAGTTGGAGGCGATAGCGCCAATTCAAAAAATGGTGTAGATGCCAGGTCTGCCAAACAATCGCAGAACTCTTGAACTATCGGTTCGGGAACTCGGTGTTACGAAGTCTATGTTCGAACTCTCAGGGTCGAGAACTCCATGTTCGAACTCTGGTTTCAGGAACTCCATGTCCGATCAAAAAATTTGCCTTTTTCACCTTTGTTTTCATTTTCCTCACATTAGATTGCAAACGTAAGGACCCTCTTAGGTTCGAACTAAAGTCACCGTGCCAGGAATGACTCCGTCAACAACCAGCAACTGTGTAGCGCGTGGCGATAGGGGACTTTAAACAATGCCGCCTAGACTGCGAACTGCTTAGTAGTGCGGAAGCTTGCTTGCTCAAAATGGCGAATGGACGCGCCAGATTGTGCACCTGTACAGGGACAACTTGCGCTCCTGGTAATTGATTTTTCCAACCCTTGTTCAAGTCGCTGGTAACGGATGCCACGAGTGCATCCGTGTTGCTTGGACCTGTCTTGGCATTTCTTCCAAACCCCCAAATTAAACAGACTGTGGATGGGTCAGACCCACTCAAACAAACAGGTTTTTTTTTCAATGAATGTGGCGATCCGACGACCAGAATGTTGGTCCAAGTTTTCCCAAGTCGCTTTTCTTGCTGCAGTTGACAAACACGATCGATGCGCCATTCAAAAAGCAGAATTCACTGACACGGGTTCCGTGGATTTCACAAACTGCGCTGTAAAGAGTGACAGAAGTTCAGATGAGTTGAACCGTTGAACTGTTCGAACATAGGGTTCGAGGTGACCTCGAGATGAACGTAGATATTCGGGGTAGCAGCATGCCCAAACACATGCTGTATCAACGCAAACATGCCCAAGCCTTCCTTCATGCCCTCGCAGATGGCGGTTAGCTC